ATTTTTGATTGACTTTGTAGAAGAAGGCATTTCAAGATTCTGTAGAAGAACAATGACAATGCTTACGTCCTTGATCTTCTGAGCATATGAAAATTTCCAAGAGTTTCAGTGTTGCAGATCTTTATGAGTATGTTGCAAATAATGATGAGCCTTTATATCGTGGTACAACTCATGATTGATTTGTTTTGAAGTGGAAATGATTAATACCGATCAATTAGAAGAGAAAATCCTAAATTAATGGAAGAAGAAAAGAAATAAGAAGGATCTACAAAAAGTGCATAACTTAAAGCTTGGGTGTTGAATTTTCGTCCGCAAGTACAACCTGGAAGTATTTTTTGATTTTGCACATTTTTGTTGGGTGATAATAAGCCTTTGGCCAACATCGTCAAACTTTCGAGAATGATATATTTTATCATTTTTTTAGTTTCGAAAGTTACGCATATTTTCGTAGATCCTTCTTATTTCCTTTTTTCTTTTTCAATTGGTTTATGATTTTCTCTTTTAACTGTTCCAAATCATTGAACTTATTCACAAAATATAAAATTACTATTGAGACCTATATTCATGAAATTTATATGTAATACAAGGATAAGTTGATTCAAGAATTTTATACATTTGCATATTTCTTTTGTTCAGGTTGTCCCATAAAATTTGGACATCGAGTAAGGGATTATATCTTTCCTCGCATCTATTTGGAGTCGAAAAATTGCAAATACATAAACATTTCATAGTCATGACCAAAACTTGTATCCTACCCTTATATGGGCCATATCTTCAAACTATGCATGTGATTTAAATAGAGACACATGAAAATTTGCTGTCATATTTGATGTTGAGAGCATCTAGGTACCTTTCCAATAATGTCATAGTACTCATCTTCAACTTTAATCCTCATTATACAATTCCAAATGTAAAGATGACAATTTGGCTTATCGACTCAAGTTGTCCGTAGCTCAACTCGAAAAAGCCTGAGAGCACCATTTTCGGCTTGAGCTAGCCCGAGGCAGCTACTTATTATAAAAAGAGTGAGTTGACTCATCCGATACGAAAGCTCAAGTTGAGCCTAGATTTTTTAGTCGAGCCCGAAAAAAGGCAGCACCATTTTACTCTAGCTAAGCCCGAGCCTTGAGTTTCAACTTGTTGACATCCCTATCCGAATGCACTTAAAACAATGAAGTATTTGCACTAATTGTTTTGGACATGTTATCTATGTGCATCCTAATTTTGTATGCTTAAATTAGTAATATTGCGAACAAACCTTTTTATCACCTTGAATGAGGATCGAAAATATATCTCAACACTATTTTCTTGAGGTCAACTTTTTTACAAAACAGCCAGTTCCCATGTTTAATGACAATTTGTATCATTTTCTCCTTATTAGAATATCAAATATGTGATCTCCAACTCTAGTACTAACTAATGTATAGAGATGCTATCAATAAGAGGAGTAATAAAGCCCTTTATCACCCATGACTAGGCAAGGAAGCCTATCCCAAACATTATTAGTTTGGGACTCACTCCCCTTCTCTATTTGTAATAACTTGCGAGGAAATTAATGAAGTTTGACTAGTGACTAAAGTGGAACTGAGAAATATGTACCTAAAAATGGATACAAATATTTACTTTGTCCACTCAATTTAAGCTAAGTCTACGAAAAAAGTATAGGAGGATTTCAATATAGTAGAAAAATTACAATAATCTTCTCTCTCAATACAAGAAGATAACAACAACTAATCTTACTTGTAATAAGAGAAATTAAGTAGAAAACACTAAAGAGTAATTAATGTATTTTTCTCTATAATTTTAAATAACTGTATTCACTTTTTTCCCTCTTACTACTAAATTCAAAGCTTCCCTTTATCACTACAGTTATTTGTATTTCTCTTCAACACATCCACTATATATAGTGAAAATTCTCACATCCCTCGTGAAAATTCAACACATCCACTATTTATAGCAAAAGTTGGCTACTTTTGCTGTACATATTTTGATTGAGTGAGGCCAAAGTTAATTTTTTTTCACCTTACCATTAAATGCAAGAGTGGCGGGCATTTAACGCATGCAATAATGACTTTTTCTTTCTTTCGATTTCTTAGTCAACAAAATGGTTTTATGAGCCAACATTTCTCCCACTTAGAGTAACTTTTGTTATAACCCTATTATCCTTTCTACACTTGTCATTTCTATGCTATTTACATTTTTACGAGGCCGATAGAGGATTAATGTCATGTAAACTTATTACCATTGATTTTTCTTTTTTAACATATCTATTAGGTTGTATTCTGTATAGATTTTCTATATATCTACAATTTACTCTTCCACAATTTTTAAGTAAAAGATACCAAACTCGAATATGCTTTGTTTTTAGGTGAAATATTGGATTATTTGTCGGGTACAAAACACTTTGACTATTTCAAATTAGAGCAATATTCTCTTGTTTGTGTTCAAACTTCTTCATTATTTTGTCTCCATTGTAAAAGTAGCCACAATAGATTATGGGTTTGAACCCAACTTATGGCTCCTCTAATAGAAGTAAACACATAACATGTGGTGGACTTACTTTTTGTCAAGATCATTTACATAATCTAAATCTACATAGCATCTAACAGTAAAGTATGATCCTCCATAACACAGAACAACATTTGACGTAATATTTTCATATTTGAGGATCCTCTTTATAGTACTCCAATGCTCTTTATTAGTATTCTCCATTATCGACTAACCATTCTTGCTACTTGTACAATGTCTGGTCTTGTACATATTATAGCAAACATTAAGCTACCTATTGTTGATGTCTATAGGTACTCGAGACATATCCATCCTTTGCTTCATTGCTAGAACTTATACTTGAGGATAACTTGAAATTAATAAAAAGATGGTATAAATTGTCATACAATCTTGCATGTTGAAGTAGCACAAGATTTCCTTCAAATATTTCTTTCCACAAAGCCAAATCTTCATATTTTTTCTATTTCGATAAATTTTCATCACTAGAATTTTTTCCCTAGTCCCAAATCCTTCATTTCAAACTCCTTAGCCAGTTGTGGCTTCAAATCTTTGATATGATCTTTGTTAGAGTCTTCTACCAACATGTCATTAACATACAACATTAGAATAATGAAATCACTATCTTCGAATCTCATGTAGTAAGCATAAGGATTTGAATTGAGTTTGTTGCACCCAAAGCTCATGATGAAGGAATCAAATCTCTTATGCTAACATCTCGACACCAGTGTATGACTGTATAGAGATTTGTTCAACCTGTAAACCAAGTTTTCTTTTTTTTTTCCCTTCAAAAACTTCTGGATGGAACGTATAAATCTCTTAATCTAGTTCTTCATAAAGAAATGCAATTTTCACATATTGTAGCACATGTCGTTAAGTCTACTTGAACTATTACGAGTCAAGCAAAATGAGAAAATATTTCATTGAAGTTAATACTTTCTTTCTGAGCATATCCTTTTACCACCAGTCTCGTATGATACCGTTCCACTTGGTCATTACTATCTTATTTGATATTTTAAACTCATTTATTTCCAATGGCATTCCTTCTTTATAATAATGGAACAAGATTATAAGTCTCGATTCTAAGACGATCTTCAATTTTTTGTGTACTTTTGCCATATACAAAAAAGCTTATTGACTATTTATAGTCTCATAGAAAGTTGATGTCTCTCCATCTTTTGTCAACAAGCAGCATATAGTATTCCCTCCATAATGTACTCTGAATACTAAGCTGGTTCTCTCAATCCCAAGTTGATCGTCAAAATTTTGTAGTTCTAGACTCAACTTGTTTTCATGCTCCAATGCTACTTAGAAGAATCTGGAACTTTTTGTTCTTGTCTATCTTCAGCTTCAACTGTAATCATCTTTGATTTCGAGTTCTATCATTTTCTTTTTCTTATACCTTGCCTTCTGTATATATTACATCTCTATTGATTATTACCTTAGGAGTAGTAGGATCCCACAAGCTACCCTCTGTCTCCATCAACATATTTTAAAAAAAATACATTTTTGGATTTAGGACTTTTCTTTTATGTTTGTCGGGTGTCGTACTAACTTACACATGATTTCCAAATACATGTAACCGAGAATAATTAGTTGGCCCACTAATCCACATATCCATAGGTGTCTTCAGATTAATCACGACTGATCGTCATCAACTGCTCACAGAACAGGATATTTTAATAAGTTATGTCAACAATGATTTTGGCTAGCCTTACAGTTCTAAAAATTTCTCTTGTTCTTTCTAACAAGATATTTGACTAATTAAATTGAACTTACCCCATAAAGAGAGTTAGTGGTGATCAAGGTGAATTTAATTCTCCACATGGTTATGCTATAAAATTAAACTGGAAGAGTGGTCCACTCATTATATTTCAAGTGAATTAGTGTCAACATTAACTATTTTGTGATAACTACAAATATCAAACACAAATGAGCGATAAATTAATATTACAACCTTCCAATACAAGGTTTCAATCCTCATACATTGGTTGTGATTATTTATAATTAAAATAAAAATATGCGTTGCTTCTTCAACTTGCCTGAAGAAGCACACAACTTATATTATCATAAGTAATCATATGAATTTTAATTTACATGCTCAATATCAAATTAAAGCAATAAATAAACAACAAAATATCATATTATTACAATAAAATAAACTGCATGGACACACAACCTAGCAGAACGACATTGTTTGGGTGCAAGCTTATTGATCAAATGTGTCATTTCTTGTCGGGGTGAATATCAATCTCTCTTTTCCATTCTATCATAGCATGGCATCTCAAATTTAACTACCCTTCCACAAGCTAACAATTCTTTGAATGTCGTTATTATCACATTGTTGAGAAGGGATTCACCATTCTCCATTATTAGTACAACAAAAATGTGAATAAAATGGAGTGAATGAAAGAAAGCGCCAAGAAATCACTCAAATCATATAAATATACATTAAATATGAAGAAAGAATAAGAAAGGACCGAAAGTATATATGCTCAAGCCATCAACGTCTGAAATAAATATAAAGATATGCATTAGGATAAAGGGAGGTCCATAAGGAGGAGAACCACATCCAGAATGTTTGGTCCAAGTGTGTATAAGCTGTGATCGTATCTGAATTTTCTCGGATGGCGAACCATAGGGAAATGTCGCTACTTCAGGATTAGTCGGGTGAAACTCGGACACTTGAGTCGAAAAAAAGATATGCATTGGGATTGGATTGGGATTGAGAAGATTAGAAGGCAACTTATAACGATGTGCATAGGGATTGATTCTCTCATGATCTCCAGTGGTCCAATCTTTAGAGTTCTATACTTGTAGATGAGTGCAATTTGTTTAATTATTTAAGCCGTATTATTAAATTTTTATGTTGTCGATTTATTAGTTTCTATTTAACTTGGATTAATTTTATTTTGTTTTTAGTAATGGACTCATTCAAAGCAATATGAAAAGGATGAAGAACAAATTAGCTATTTGTTGCAATGTTTGGAGATCAAATTTAACACTTTGAAAAGTGAAGGACTTGAAGGATAATATAGCATTAATGGCTTTGCATTGGAGCCCTTTCTACTTACCAATTGACAGTTGGAAAGACAAACATAATTGGGCCTCGTAAGTATAAGAAAAGGGCATCATGCTGGAATTCTATTTTACATATATATACAAGCTACTATTGGCTGAAAAATAAACTCCCCTGCCTTTATAAGCATGTCTTCAACTATTCCGTAGGAGTGTTTTAGTGATCTGTCTGCCAGTTGAAGGATGATAGAAGCAGCTTTGGGATCTCCCAATCCTAATTTCCTGTAAAGATATGGGGGAATTAAATTGATACTCGCTCCTAAATCAATTAAATAATTTATATCATTTAAATATCCAATAGAGCAAGGTAGAGTGAAACTCCCTGAATCTTTAAATTTGGGAGGGATCCTATGCTGGATGATCGCACTGCACACTAGTGCTATTGTTTCATGCCCGGCATCTTCCTTTTTGTAGTCAACATTTCCCTAAATAATTTAGAATAGTTTGGTATTTGAAGGATAGAGTCAATGAGTGGAATGTTGACATTTAGCTTTTTGAGGACCTCCAAGAATTTCATAGCTTGCTCCTCCAACTTGACTTTCTGCAACCTTTGAGAAATAGGGACCAGAGGTGTTAGTGTAGTGCCAAGATCATTTGCCTTAAGTCGTAGACGATCTGAAACTGGCTTTTGATCATTTTATGTTTCTTCTTCAAACTGTTCCACCAGTTCATTGCCGTTAGTGTGAGTTTGAGTGCTCTCTGTCTCGTTCATCTATGTAGTGATATTGGTCTTTCAACTCTGCTTCTAGTTGTAATGGCCTGAACCTCTTCCTCTTTAGGTTTTCTTCGAAGCCTTTGAGGAAATGGAATAGGCGGAACAGAAGCTTTGATATGGATGGTGGGAGTGAGTGATTGGAGCTCAATAGTTTGCATAATTCACTACCTCAACTGCTAATACCTACTCTAGTAGGTTCTTTTCTGTGTCACTCGGTAAGGTACCCTGTGGTCTGTTGGTTAATGCAGCTGCTATCTGTCCCACCCATTTCTCTAAGTTATGTATAGAGGCTTCCTGATTCTATATCATCGTCTCAATCTTAGTGATGTACTTGACAAGTAGATCATCTAATGATTGCCTCTTTTCTCTTGTTGCTGAATCGCTGTGGATTGTCCTTCATTTGATTTATTTGATTTGAATTATCAACCCACGCGTAGTTGGAATGCTTGTTTAAACTCAGATGGTAGTTGTGTAGGTAAGGTCCATTTTGTCTCTGATAGTTCTGTGCATAATTTAACCTCTGCTGGCTGACCTATGAAAGTAGAAGCCAAAGAGCAAATTGCAATTATTTGATCTGCCCCACAACTTGTGCACATCGGAGCTAGAGTTTGTGCGATATTAATAGAATGGGTCAAAGTTTTAAGCTTTCTAGTAATTGTCTCTATTTGTGCTGTCAATGTTGTCACTACGTCCACATTATACATACCAACTATTTTCCTCTGGACTTCCCTGTTGCTCGGCCATATCGATTGATTTTCTGCTATCCTCTCATACTACTCATAAGCATCGTCCACGTTTATAGCCATTATCGATCCTTCCGCTGAAGCATCTACCATATTCTTGAATTTTTGGCATATTCCCTAGTAAAATATGTATACTTGTATTGGTTTAGGAATGTCAAGATTTGGGCACTTCCTAAATAAGTTCTTATACCTTTTCATGCCTTTGGATAGCTCTCGAGGTCTTTCTGCTTAAATGTGTGGATTTCATTCCGGATTTAATGAATTTGAGTTTGCGGAAAAAAATTCATGGTAAATTTTTGAATCATATCATTCCACTAAAGTTGAGACTCATCTTTGCGAGTTTCCATAATTTTTAAAAAAGCAATCTCACACAGTGGATCTAGGAAGCCATATAAATGGTTGATTTCAAAGACCTGTCCCGTTAAGAGCATTGATGGACTTTTTGTACAGGATGAAGTGAGCCATTTTAGAAAACGAAAAAAAGCACAAAATCAATGCCCTTTTGAGTCTAAGGCAATCCCATAACAAATTCCATACTTATCTCAGCCCAAGGATGAGTATGAATCGGCAACAGTAATAAAAGGCCGACAGTAGAAACAGCACTGTTAGATAGATAATTGGAAAACGCAACTGTGATCAACAAATTTGGCCGCCTTCTGAATTAACCATTGGCCAAAAGTAAACAGCAGTTAATAAAGTGTAAGTATGGTTACAACCTACATAGCCTTTTTTATGAAGTTCAGCAACGAGTTTCAATAGAAGGCTGCACAAATAATACAAAGTCAGATTCCACGAAAAATAAATTCATTCTCAAGTAGGATATCAGGGCTCCCCATGTTGAAGTCGGGTAAAAATGGGAGCAAAATAGAGCTCTTACATAATGAACTGAAGGAATCAAAACCTGAAATTACAGTAAGATGAACTGTTGAAGATAGAAGATCAAAGAGCATGCAGTTTCAAATTGACATTCTGTATTTCCCAAGTATCTCAACGCTTATGACCGGTGAAGATAATAAGATTCTCGATGGGAAATAGGTGTTGAAATCTGCTTTGTTTTAATCAGATCGAAGGCTCCCTGTACGCCTTTGTCCACATAAAATTTGCCTCTTTCATAAAGTTTTAATGGGATTTAATAAATTTATGCATTGACAAGAAAGTATAATAATTTTATTGAAATAAAAATATTTAGATATTTTAGGAATTACCCTTGTATCGTGCTTTACCAAAAAAAAATAATAATAATAAAAAATAAAAAATAAATTAAATTTCCTACAGGTTACCTTCAAATCCTTCGCCCTTATCCAGTGTTCTTCAACAGCCAAACGCTGCACAGATTTTATGCATGCAGACACAATAACACAAAGCTTTGATTGAAAATTACATAACTGCCTGTATATAATACCGTACCTGACTTGGATATGAAAACATTACATAACCTAAAAAGACTCTTCTTTTTATTTTACTCCAAATCAAGCTCTTCCAAATATGAGTGGCATATATGCAAAAGACACGTGACATCTAGTTTCCATCCAATTAAATTCAATTAATATCACTACGGTTAATAATAAATTATAACTCTTATAATTTATTTTAGTTCTTATCTTGAAGACACCGAATGTACATAATTGGAATCAATTAAATTAAATTTCAATAATTAATCTTGACTCAATTAACTCTCAATTGAAATTTATTCAACTAAAAGAACAAGATTGCAATCTCAGTCTAATTCAAATTACTGAATCCATATAAATAATAATTATATCCCGTGACTTATCTTTCTTACATTATAAGCCATAAACCATGTCAATATCTTAGACAAGGTAAAATGACCAAATGGCCCTCCTTAAAATAAATAGTTATCCTCATATCCTATTTTCTATGTGAAAATTCAATATGATCACATCATAATATTAATTCAACAATCATGAGCTCAAATTAAATTGTCCACCTGAAAATCTTTTGATCTTATGATTGTGCCTATTAAATAGGCGATGGATTCAATATCACAAATCCATATTTCTCATTTTTTTTACTTCAATTCTCAAGTTACCGAGATTTTGACCGGTAGTTTGATCTCACCAACAAAATCATGTTAGTAGTCAAAATCTATTACCCATTGAAAATTAAGGTCCCACATAGGATAATAAAGTAAAACTAAATTCATATGGTCAATGTCACAAATTAAGTTTTACTTAGTCCAATCCAACACATTCAAAACTTATTCTCAATCTTATTACCAAAATCAAAGATGAACTTCAATAAAATTAGGACAATTTATAAAATAAATTATTTTCCATTAGTTACCAATCATGGACGATAAAACTTAAATCTAATCTTTCCATTGTTAAAGATCCATAATAAAATAAAATAAATAAATAAAATTGAAAGCTCAAATTGATATAAATAATTTATCAAACACTAAATTAATTTTTTATTTTCAAAATGCTGTTAATACAAATGAGTTTGCTCGACGAGAAAACCTATACAACAAAAATGTCTGTTAAAAGGTAGTCCCGAGAAACCCGCAAACTTACACAATGGCTGAGGCTTTGGTCACGATTGGATGGCTATTAACTTTCAACTGTCAACCTCCAAACCCTTACCTGGATCACATAACTGAGAAATAGAACACCGTCTAAACACAAATTCACATATGTGCTGTAGCGAAGAGTCCCAGCAATGAAGAACGACTGAAACCTCGAATGCCCCCAAGATGAGAAGAGTTCACAATATAAATAAATATACCGTTGAAATAAACTAAAAATAATCGATATTTAGACCAAACAACACCTAGAGGGGTGAATAGGCGTATAATGTGGAATTAAAAACAACAAACAAAGGCACAATAATAAAGTAGGAGGGTTCTCTATAGAATATTGGAGGTTCCAATCCTCCCAGTTAGCTGAAAGACAACATTTATATTGGAAGACAGATACTCCGTGGAAGCAAAATTATGGTGCACTCTATTGTCCTTCTGGGAATTCTGTTAGCACATCGTAAAAAAAGGTCCACAAGGAAGAGAACCATATCCTGAATATCCGACCCAAATGTGTATAAACTGTGACCACATCCACATTTACCCGGGTGGTAAACCAAGGAGGAAGGTTGCCACTCCTTAGGATTATTCAGACGAAACTCGGACACCTGAGTCATCAAAAAAAATTTAACAAACAATAATGAACAACAAGTCACATATTATTGTCTCTAGATGATTAAGTTTAATCCAATCATACCCTAATTATAAAATGTGTATAAACTGTGACCGCATCCACATTTACCTGGGTTGTGAACCAAGGAGGAAAGTCGTCACTCCTTAGGAATATTCGGACGAAACTCGGACACCTGAGTCATCAAAAAAGTTTTAACAAACAATAATGAACAACAAGTCACATGTTATTGTCTCTAGATGATTAAGTTTAATCCAATTATACCCTAATTATCTATCATGTGATATATATATATATAAGTATAAAAGTAAAATCAACACCAAATATCGTAACGAAGGAAAAACCTTGAAGAACTTATGTTTAGATTTTTTCTTCATATGAATCAAATCAATAACTAAAAATGCAACACATCAGTGTCGTGCGTAATTTAGATCAAGTTTCACATAAACAAACATAAATCAACCCAACTTAGAATCTTTTTCACCAATTCTTATTCTAATGCATCATTTCAATATATATGTCATTGCCGACAAGGCCATTCAACCCACGCAAGCACACATAAGCTATAAACATCATAAAGAAACATAGTTTTTGAGTTTTATTGATTTTTTTAGCACTCGACAAGCACACAACAAAACATAAACTGTACAAAATCGATGAAGAGTTAGCTACTCCCAAACTTGACACACGCATTGTCCTTAATGTACTAAAATAGAAGAACGAAATGCATAAGTAAAGAGGGTAACTGAAAACTCCCCTAATTAGTCTAATGGTGGCAGTGGAGAGAAGCGCACGAGAATTTTTCTTATCAAGGAAAATTGGTGGCTCATCTTGACTTGCATGTCATGAACCATGTCATATGTCTAATTAGCACGGACCTGTATACCGTCTATCATTCTAGTGTATCGATCTGTGGGCCAATTAGTGTATCTATGTAAGTCGGAGACATCTTCCTATGTCTTACTGGTGCTGGCTAGTACTGTCTAGATGTCAATTCGTATATCTTGTGCTTGTAAATCCAAGGCTGTAAAGGCTTATCGCATCATCTAAACATCCCAATCTAGTCTGATCATAGTCGCAAACATCTGACAAAGCACATGCATGTCTACCGACAGCTTATGCTATAGAGTAGGATGGATTTTATTGTCCTCCTCTTGGCTCTCTCAGTCCTCTTGGTCCTGTCATTCTTGCCTATAATGCTGGACTTTGCTACAAGAATTTTTGCGATCTAAATGTTGATTAGGATAG